GGGCTAAAAATTGCAGTAAGAATATGCCTCCACAGACAAAAAGAAAACCAATGAGATCTAAATCTAAATTCTCCTGGTCTCTATATCCACAATGTGTTTTTTACACCGAAAACCCACAGAGCTAAATGCTTGGAGTTTTTAGGAATTTTAAGAAAAGGAATGTGTTTACCCATCAATAGTTTTGAATTACAGGAAACGATTTTGTCTCCATTTTAAACTCGCCTCCACCGATCTCTTCATAAAAGAGCATGAGGTTTCTGGAATCATAATTTGCTCTAAGTCAATATAAATCTACTCGTATTCTATCACAAAAAAATGCAATCTAAATGGCCTCTTAATTCCATACTAGGGAACAGAGAGGGACAAACAGTTAGGTCGCTCTCTATTTCTGTATGTATTTGGTAACGAGGACAAAACGTCATTAACCTACCTCACGATAGAACTCTCGAGCTCGTAATCTACGCACTCAAGTCTCATTAAACAAGCGGAAAGGTCACACTGAGACAATCTTAGCGTAAGGTGGGCTGATGATATCCCTTGTGGCCTAGACCGACAAGGTATAGGTTTCATATGAACTTAAATATATAACTTTCAGGAAAATATGAAGTAGGGAAACATGCCACAAAGTCTGGATAGAAGCAGATATATATCGAATTTTAGAAGATGAACGACACTTTTTAAAAACATGTTTTGACAGTTCTTGTGTCATCTTCAGTTCTGAATAATACAAGGTTCAAAGTTTAAAGAGTGTAACAATGCTGTTTAAACAAACAAACAATAGTAACAGAACGATGTACGCATTTACAAGGAAAGTTTTAAGTTAACATAATAAATTTGATGATTTAATGTAGGTATTTCCCATTGAATGAGGATATCTTCTCTGATTTTAAGTTGAAAAGTTGTGGAAGCGTGATCTAAGATGTTAAAACAATCAGCAGAAAAAAGAGTGCGATATTGCGGAGAATTATGTAGCTGTCTGAAAATGCGAGAAGTCCTATCACTGACCAAGTGCTCACGTATGCGTGTAGATAAATGCCGCGAGGTTTCGTCGACATAGCAGGCATTACAGCCCGCACATAAAAACTTGTAAATCACACACCTACGGAGCCTAAAAGGGATAGGATCTTTTACACCAACATATTACCTATTTTAAAAGATGAAAAAACAGACTTAACAAACAAACTTACTTGATGTTGTTACAATACAGCTTGGCAAATTCTATCCCTCAAGTATTATTTCGGGTTCCTTTTACATCTTGAAGAGCCTCTGGATCTGTATATGCTCACGACTCAAACATGTGCCAATATTCTTCAAGATGGTACTCTACTAAGCAGTCTTAATCGTTTCCCTGAGGATAGAAATTCATCAAAGACACATCATCAACAGGTCAATATATCTTCTATCCATAGAAACTATTTTGTATTCTCGTTTACCAACATTAGTGATTAGATGATCCATTTTTCGCAATAAAAACTTTAAATGTCCTTGACTAAATGAATGATTGAGTGGATTAATCAAAACCCTGTCATAGCGTGCAACGAGTTGAAAAAATCAATATTTCGGGACGAAATGGTCAAAAGTTTCTTTGATATTCGGTCATATTGGTTTGATTCCTTGCTTTAGTAGATATGAATACAGGAGCAGGAGCTCTGCAGTATCCGCTTCCTCCACACTAATTTCTTTGAGATCCTGAGATACTATAAGAGTAATGGACAATTTTCCATTTAAATAGAAAGCAAAAGAAAATTGACAGAATTGAAGTGCTCAAAAGTTAAGTAATACAAAATAAAATAAATATGTTTCGTGAGAATTAAAAATAAGTATTATCACTAAACTGCCTATAGGAGAACTGTGTGACATTTTTCACAAAATGAATATTGCTATTCAATTACAGCAAAGTCTGCAAGATGAGGATTTGTACGTACGTTTCCCCTCCTTTCCACACAGGCTTAAGCATTAAGGCTTTGATTTACTTTAGACAAAGATGAGGGGTATGATATGAATACAGGATACCTTCCTCGAAAAACAGATATATCAGCTGGAAATTTATAAAATGCGATCTCAGGATCCTTCACAGTAAGAATTAACCACTTTAACAGACAAGAAGCTGACAATCGATATGAACCAATCGCAGAGCGTTGTCACATAAGTAGTAGACGAAGGATTTTTCATACCTTTGTAGTGATAAGAAAAAAGTAATAATATAGAATCTATTTTGAAACCTTTATTTCCCACAATCATCGGGCTAATCTGTGTAATCCGAACACTTTTGAGGCTTCTCATAATTATCATAAGGTCAAACGTACTTTCTCTTTTAATTCAGCCAAATCCATCTTATGTTCATATCCATTTTCAACGAAACTTGCTGCATATTTCTGAGAAAAGAAAAAAATATCAATCAAACACCACGATCAAAATAAAAAAAAAATTACCTTTTAAGCCAGCTTAATCTGTAATTAGTCTATATTATTTTCTAACGAAATGTGCAGCCAATAAGTTAGCTATTCACAATTGTGATCGAGGAGTTGAATTTCAGATTACCAAAAAACAACTCTAGCCTTTGGTTAAATTCTTACATGAACATCCTGTTTGCAAGTTCGATGCGCTCAAGAAATGGCCACGCTGCTTTTTCTGAGGCCACCATGAGTTATGCTTTCTTTTTCTGCCCTTACCTGATATGCAGGAGGGACTTGGTTGATTTTCATAGGATAAGAGATAATTTTTTCTGTGTTGATACCAAGCGCTTAGTTAAGATTTGAGGTAAGACTTCGAAGTTCTGGGTTATGGTTATTATAGGATGTGTTTCCTGATGGTGCCTTCTCGTCTTATCTACGTCGGTGGACGTGGTTCGTTTTTCTTCTGACCTTGCCTTAGACCAACTCTACAGTTTTCGTTTTGGCTTTCGAAGTCAATGATTCATCGTTTGCATGGAAGCTTTCAGTACGTTGTTTTATCATGAGATCTCATAAAAATTTTTTAAGATAACTTCTAGTAAGGAATGTTTAATCTTCCAAGGTCAGTTGGCCCGCATGCCCAATCGCACTTGCCGATCGCAAATTACTATGTGCACTAGCACTATGAACTTTAGTTAGTTAGAGCCAGGGCTGGGGACGGGGGAAGAGAGAGTGATCAAAGATGAAATTAAAGAAGTTAATGAAGTGAATTGCTGTAAGAAGTCGGAATTTATAATATCAGAGAATACCTTATAGGAAAGATATAGAGTCCAGCGTTGTACAGATAATTTCCACCTATCCATTTCGTAACAGGATGACAGGTTCTGGTAACATAATGTTATTTAAGCCTTATTAAACCCAGCTCTCTTTCTTGTAAACAATCCTTCACTGGCTCGTGAAATTGTTCCTTTCAGGCAGTGAGAGGTGGATTGTATCTAAAGCTAAGAAATAAGGAAATACGTGTGTCGTCAGCAATTTTCTTGCGATTAAGTGATGGGTGAGCATTCTAACAATAACTGGAGCATTTACTCAAGATGTCAATATCTTTTTCATCAGGCTTTCTTCAGGGGGCTAAATTTCTTCTTTTTTTTCTTAATCTCACGCTGGTGTTTTAGAAACTTTCTTAGTGCAGCAGCACCTTTTTCATGCCGAGAAACAACAGGGAAAAATTATATTTTCGAACTGAAAGCATTTTGTCTTGTTTTACTATACGAGGCGGATGTATCAGTTATTTCCCTCGCCTTACTTGTTGTTCTTCCTTTTGGTGACTCTGTTTTTCTGTTTAGACCTGACGGACCGGGACCCTACAATTTAAACAAAATCGTTAATGCGGTCTAATCTTAGAAAGAATTCCCAAAGTATTAAAAAGTTATCGGAACTTTGCATCTAGCAATAATTGGAATTGCTATCATCCAAGAGTGTCAGAAAGAAAATGGCTTTGGGTAAGCACAATAGTCAATAGCAGATCCATGCAGAGGATCCGAACCCTTTCCCTAAACTTATTTCTTGGCTTAGAAGACATTTATCGAAACGAAAGGTTTCCTCCCCTGTTATTACTCCAAATGAAATGTCAAAAATTTACTCTTCTTGAAATATTTCTTAACTTATATAGGCCCTATCGTAAAAGCCCCTCCATCCTCTTGCATTTCAAGGGCTGCCGCCGTGTCAAGTTCTTGATAAAAGGACCAGCAACGAGAGATCAGGTTAATGCGAGTTTGAAACGTCTTCATGGTGACGAAATAAATTATTTTCTCAGGCCACACTTCATCAGTGAACCACTTTGACTGGTAATGGACGTCAACCACCTCTTATACTGATACGATGTGGATAAAATTTCCGACGTATTTAATTAACAAGGCTTACCATGGAGTTTGAAGTTTCACCTGTCATGCTAGAAACCAAAGGTTTGTCATCCTGTACCCTTCTCTATTTTTCATCTTGATCTGGTCTGATCCAATGTGATCTTTGCAGACACAAACATGTACATGCAGAATAATCTCACTTTCTTGTTCCTGTTGAAAAAAGAAAAATGAACATACTAGGAAGACATAGCAGAATAGAAAAACTCTACACAGAACCAGGGTTCGCGGTTTTAAGTTCTTACTTGCTTCTAGAATAATCATCTGCATGGATAATTGTGCACGCCGGCTAATGCAATTCTCTAATTTTCCGCAATTTTGATTTAGAAATTCCCAAACACTCGGTACGTCCTTGAAGGATACAGATGGGTAATAGCAAAGTGCAGGAAAGAACAATAATTTTAAAAAGAGTTCAAAGATAGTAGTGATACGAAAAAATTATAATAAACATACCCCAAGAGGTGTCGGTTAAATTGCAAATAGAGTATATCGTCAGCAACAGAAAGCCAGATGACAGGGCACAAGATATACCAAATTCCACAGACAGAGCAAAGGATTTCTCCTGGATGCAAGAAAGAAGCAATAGTGAAGATCCCTGTCAATTCAGTTAAGTACAGGGAACTCACAGCAGCCAGTAAATTGTGTTGCAAAAGTTTTGGTGCCATAAAAGATGTTGTGTTCGTATGCACTATCGTTCCAACAGTTGGATCAACTTTTCTCGCCTGCAAACCATTGAAACTTGAGAGGCCACGCCGATTACTATGATGCACGTAATTGCTGAGAAAAGAAAGGTCAGCATCTTGGATACTTTCAGCTGCCATTTTGGCTTGTAGGGACATAATAATATATAAACAAATAAAACCAGGCGTAGGAATACGACTGCGCAGATCTCCTATATTGGAACACCTGATAGTGTCAGTCCACCTGCTATGACCAAAATTAATGTGGAGGATCTGAAAGACAAAAGCTATCCAAGTTACATTACAGTTTCGTCAAATTTCTAGGCCTACATTCTGCCCGCTGCAATTAGCAATGACAGCTAAGGCACATGATACTGCTCTAAAAGCAAGAGACATTCTCATTCCTCAGCAAACAGTTCTGGGATATTTGTACTCTTTGCATCATTAGGAAATGCAAAAACGCATCTTTTGAAAGCTATATTGGGCAAGCGTAGCTTTCCTTTTTTTCACACTTCATTATAAATGCACGTTTGTTTTGTTTTAATAAAGATGCTAAGAATATAAGATGATTCCCAAAAAAATTAAATTGATGCTTCATATAACTCGATTAAAGAACTATCTTTTCAGTTACTCGTATCAATGTCTAAAAACCTCAAGTGAATATAAAAATGCTTTTAACTTACCTGATCATAGAGAAAATGACAACGAACGTTTGGTAAAGGTTGAATAAAAACGAGACATGTTTGCTATTTCTTAATATTTCTCTCCCTTTGCCGATGAGCAAAACTAAGTTGGTGAGCGAAGATAGCGTCCATCGTCTCCTTTTTTATAAAATTCTTCAAAGCTCTCCGGGCAGTAAGTGCTGTTATTTGCAATAGCACAATATGTCAATCGTTTGCCGCGTTGTATCATCAGTGTACAAAGCCAACGGTCTTCCCCTTAAAAAATGGCTGTGACTTAGTTGATTTTAGCAAACTCCAAATATGCTTAGTGTAAGAGACAGAAAGTAAACGTTATATGGTGTGGTCTTCGGTGACCGCACGCAAAATATCGCGGGCGCTCTTTCCCACGAAAAGCACATGTTTTGTTATGGAGTTACACTGTCGTTTCGTTAGGACAAGTTTTCCTTTCTATTTAGAAGGCACAATAACTTGTAAGCATGCAGTATTTCGGTTGTTCGGTCAATATCATCTTTGTAATAGTCGCGTTGTTGTTATTTCAGCGAATCTTTCTCTTTCACGTGCAATTTGTGAATGGAATGAATACAAGTTATGTGCAGATTAGAAACGAACTAGCAAGTGAACAACTGATTAGAGTACAGTTTCAAGTAGCTATGAGTGGACGCTGCACATAGTTTTCTACGAGCATAATTGTGTCACGATTACTGCATAAGGGGGTTGATGGTGACAATCGTGGGTCCAGGAGGAAAAGAAAGTAGGGGGCACTAATAATTCATTCACTTATTAATTTTACTATCTATCTTTCATTAGCACAAAGTAAATGCAGTGATCGAAGAGTTCTAATTAATAAATAACGGAGTAGGGTAAATAAAGAGGTGAGAATGAACCTTACCCAAGTCTCTGAAAAGATATTCCAAGGGACCTTTTGCGAGGGTAGCTAACTCTTTTAAAACATCCCTCAAAGCCTCACATCTATACAAGCTGAAGCATCCGGGACAGCACAAGACTGTGCCAAGCATATGATTAGTCACCTAAAGTAGAAAAAGGAATTAAATCCAATAGAAGACAATTATAAGGCTGACTGAAATAGAGGTGTTATCTCGCTGAAGCATAACTTTTCTGTTCGATTCCTTTACTAAAAAAAGATATCTTCAAGATAAAATTGACTGGATATGGTTATCATACTCATCAAGCTCAAATAACAACACAAACCTTTTAAAACCAATAGCCTGTAGCATAGTCAAATATCTGATACCATCCTCGCAGATTTGATCAATTAAGGTCTCAACGGACTCGTAGGTAAATTTAACATCGCCGTCTGTTGAAAGGATGAAGCATTGGTCATCTTTCCCCGAGATGTAATCATATGTAAGGCTGGATTGTTTTTATCATAATGATAAGAAAGTCTAACAACTTGATGTGGTGAAAAAGTTTATTTTTTTACCTTCAGGGATTTTAAAATCCAGGATGTGGGACAAATAATTACTTAGCTCCACCTCTTCTTCCTCTTCACCTGTGCTCTAACTTCCCCGCATTAATGACAAAAAATAGAAAGATTCTTCACCTTTGCACTGTCTTTTAAATGAATCGTGAACTCCATTTTATTCCGGACTGTCCACTTTAGCTGCATTCCGTAAGGGGTCCTCATCTTGATACAACTGCTGAGAGTCAAATTTAACAATTCCTTCACTAGATAAACCAACCGCAACACATGACTGTTTGGCTCGTCTTTATCGACACAACCATCAAAGAATACGTGTGATTCGTAACGCTGCCTTGAATTATTTAGGTTCATGTTGGCATCTATGATTGACCGAAGATGTTCTTCCATTTCTTTGTCTTTTTCGTGTGCATTGTAGTGCAAATGAAGACTACCCTCTCCTTTAGAGGCTATCAAAAAGATCAAAAATTGTGAAAATTTCTGTGTTAAATAATCGCTACTAGTTGCAACTCACTTGGAAATTCGGCCATCGCCACATGATAATTAAGACAAGGTGATATTTCTTCGAGTTTTCATAACCTTTGGTGACGAGCGATAGCCGGGAGATTAACATAATGGCGGCTACTAGGGGGAAGGAGAAAAGAATAAACTGTTACTCTGCAGATTTTGCTGCGTAGAGTGTTCCTCTTCAGATGGGCAGTTTCATATGTAAGTTAATGAATTCCGTTCAAAGCAAACAACCGAGGAACAAAAGCACGAAATTTAATTTATTTTCAACTCAGATAACAACGAGCACTTTATTCATCCCGCAATATGTAGTGATTAGTATATTTGTAGTGTTCTTATTGTTATTAGTACGCCTATGTCTTAGTTGAAAGACGTGCACTTGTTGAAAAAGCAAAATCATAGATCTGAAACCGAACTGCATATACTCTATGCAATCTATTTTGTCTGTTAATGTGCAAAGTCCTGGATCCGCAATTCCTCAAAGTATTGAATCTTGAGTCCGACGCCGAGAATTTGAACATTTCAATTTTTATTGGACCCTTCATAGAATGAGAGCAGAAAGTCCCAGCATCATTTCTGTCAGTTCGACATAGTGCGACAAGTCTGTCGATAAAATTGGAACTACCGTTGAAGGAGAATGACCTTTTATGTTTTACGCGTTGCAATGAAAATCAAAGAGTTACTTATCGAATAAGAAAGAAGGATAGAGGGTGTTAACTTGTGAGAATTCAACCCTACGTTTTAAACCGGCAACAAGTACATTTAGTGGAGTATACCTGTAATCGTTTCGCACTGTCTGTAGATTGATCATGTTGCTATTCGGAAACGTCGCGAGACTGATCCAGGACTTGGCACATTAACAGACAAAACGAAGACGCTTCCTTTTCTGGAAAGTAAAGAATATCCAATCCTTTTTAGAAACAGGAAGATAAATTTTTGCTTGCAGCAAACATCTAAGACTAGCTGGTATCAACCCATCGGCGCTTTCATGAAGCCATTATCAAGATGATGTGTAATGATCATTCAAAAGGTGATGAAGGGACGTAATAGAGTTTATTAAGTAAAAAAGAAGGCACAAAACATAGACCCTCAAACGAACAGAAGCAGTTTGCATCATTAACTATTTACGTACAACGGCTTTTTCTGTTTTATTTTTACCAGATTCTGACCGCCGAACGATTAGCTGAGCTGTGTTCCTGAATCACTTTAAAAATGTACGCTCTTTTCCGTAATCTGCTTTAGCCCACAATGTGCTTGCGGTGATTAAGATAAATTATTTGCTTATCCTCCTCGTAAATGTTTCTTTTCAAGCTAAAGTTGCAAATTCGATTCCCGCGTTGATACATGTGCATGCGATAAACACCAAACCAAATAGGATCTTTTCTTTCTTTATTCCTTTCCTATTCCTTGGGGCGTTATTATATCGAAGCGGTCAACTAAAATTATTACGTAAAGAAATCACCAAAGTATTGTGATCAAAGCTGAAGAATAATCTCGATTTTGGAAACGAGCACGTGCAATTAAAGGAATCAAAAGAAAGGTAAAAACGAGCGATAAATTTCGCTTTGAGTAACGACTACGAGCTAGATAACATAATCACAAAACAAGTTATTGCTTACCCACTTTCACGGGTCTTGATTACTTTATCGAGGACTACAGCCTAACTTGTCTTCTATTCGAAAACGATCTTGATCACACGGGGTCTTATCTTGAACTTAAACACTAACTATAATTTTCTGTCTAAAAATAACTAATCACGGGGGCTTCAACGGAAGCAGTTACACTCCTCTCAAAAATTCGCACCTCTTTTAATTTAAGATTTGTTTAATTTTCAACAACAGTAGGGACTCTGAGTGGAAACGAATTGATTCTGGAGCTGAGAATGCTGATTCGCGCTGTACCAGTGAAAGAAAGACATATAAATCACTGGAAGTGAATTTCCGGAGAACAATCAGTTATGAAGTACCACTGACTAGATCATCACTTTAAACTATATATAATTCAACTTTTCGACATTCTTTAAATTATAGCAAACATCATACAAGTTCTGGCGATGGAAATAAAAATTCATGAGATTTTCATTCCTCGAATAGAAAAAGCGTGAACCAATTGACATCAGCAAAGTCTGAATGAATGAAAACAAATTGTCAGGACTAATCTCATCTGAACAATTGGACTATACGATTGACAGTCATTCTGCTGGAAGAAGAAAAATAACATCTTTGTACGGGTGTTTAAGGATTAGATGGTCTTTGTGAAAACAGGTTTTGCCTTCCCACATAAATGAAAGGACAGAGGAAAAACTCAACAATCTCTTCATTTGGAGAGACCCTTACTGGAGGAATCGGCACTAGCCGTCTGCGTGAAGACCAGAATCTATAAGGGCTGCTGAATATCTTTGAGAAAATAAGTTCCACAAAGACTTAGCTTCAACGTATCGTTTGATACAGTCATGTAACCAATGTGCCGTTAGATGTTGCTTTACTGTGTCCCTGGTGTTTTCAGCAAAAGCTTTACAATGTAGTCCTATTTAAGCCTGTAAACTACAACGCTAAAGGATTAGATAATTAATTTTATGGATTATCTAATATATTGCAACTGAGTAAGAACGATTGACTACGAAAGAATTGCGCTTTTCACAAGATTAATCACATTCAAAACAACACAGATATTAAAAAAAACTAAGGAAAAAACCAAGATAGGTGAAGATTACAGTTTGACACTAATTACAGTAATGACTAAACAACGACTGTTTACGGCTGATTGAATAACAACAAATTCTTTTAAAAGTCAGGATTTTGGACAATTATTGGTCATTAATCTCTCTAGAACTATTTTTTAATCACGAAATTCTGGCACAAAATAATTTTCTTCGCTATTGTTCAGACAAATCAATAAACTGACAGATAAAATAGCAAAAAAAAAGGCTACTAGGAAAACGAATCACACTTACTACATTGCGGATGTTTACACTAATATCAACACTACTAACAAAAACAACATGTTCGTGTTAACTTTTTGCAATGATTATATATCAAGAAAAAACTCAGTGACTTACAGTAAGTCTTTGAACTCAAAAATTATCTCTGAATGATGCTGTGTTACGAAGAAATGGCCAATAAGGCGTTACACATCTAAACCGCAATCAGCAGTAGTAAATACTAAAGTAGTGGTTTTGATTTGTGTTGGCGTTTCCTGATCTGTATCGTGATTGGTCGATACAGAAATCACCTGTCAGAATCAAATCCAAGGTTCCGTGCATTTTTGAGTTTGAAAGTAAGTTACAAACTTTCCAACATTTTCCTTTACAATCTAGAATTAAACCAAATAAAGGAAATTTATGTTTCTCAACTAGCAACTAACTAACTAAGAGAATGAAATAATAAAAATAATAATAATAATAATAATAATTGGACGAGTTGACTAACTAATCAACAATACAAGAACTTAAGCATAGGAAAGAGGATGCAATCTCCTATGTTTTCTACTTTGTAAAACGCTTTTTCCATTCTTTTTTTGAACAGTCCATGGCGTGCGTGCCAAAATATGCATAATTGTTTTCACACGATGGCACAAAAGAGCTAAAAATTGAGCAACAAATAGCCCCCCATAGATGATCAGGAAGCTAAGTGCGATGACATCGAGCCCTAAAATCTTTAGGTCTCCCTTTTGTACAAGCGTCAGTATAAGTGCCATCCATACCATGTTGCAGACACCAAATACCCACAAAGTTGTTGTTCTAAGCTTCCGAAGGTCTTCTTCCGCAGAAGACGTGGACGCTAAAGCTTCGTCAATCGGAGAAAGGAATCCTTCCTCAAGTAATTCTTTCCAGAAGGTTATTTCGACTTCAGGATAGTCCTTGTCATCAGACTTGACAGGCAGAACACTATTCAGTGTATGCTCCGTGCTGAGGATTGTCATCTGTGCATGTCCTAAAAATGAAAAAAGAATACAGGGTTATTACAAATCAGTCTACTTGGACGAGAACGAACGTAGTAAGCAAAATATTGATTAAACCATAACGTAAGGGGGGCAGCTTCCTAGATTTAAAAAAAAATGGGATTGAAATAAATTCAGATGGTACAGTTGTTGCCACAAACGTCCTAGCCCTGTTTCTACCAGTATTGACTGAAATTATCTAGGAAAGGTGAAGAAGCGGCTTGTACACACGCAATCACCAAAACCTTGCCATGTGAGATATTCAAAACTGGGTGTAACAGCCGTTTCCAAGTTCTCACTAGTCTAAGATCTGGTGTCGAAATCTAGGCGCGAGAATGAGGCTAAGTGCGAAGTTGCTCTCGTCACTATCTAAATTGAACAGCCGTGATAATGAAAATAAGCGAAGATTTCTCGCATATTGCAGACTTTGAATTGAGCACGCAAATTACGATTTCTATGTCGTTTCGTTTGTGCAAATTACAGTTAGCCCTCGCTACGAATCAGCAAGAATAAATAATGATAACAATAAAAAAAAACAACAAATGATGACATCAACACAGCTGAGGCAAGGCTGTATGTGTACCACACTCTAGAATTTATTACCAAGTAATGTAAAACAAATCACTTCCTTTTCCAGATTTCGTCAAA